GTCGGCGTAATTTTTTCTCTGAGCGACGCGAGTAATATGCCGCCGCGAGGGACGATTTGCTGCCGAGGGACTTTTTGCCACGGAGAGAAGGTTTGGAGCGCGAAACCTTCTCTCCGTGGCAAAAACTCTCTCGGCAGCAAATCGTCCCTCGCGGCGGCATATTACTCGCGTCGCTCAGAGAAAAATTACGCCGATGCCCAACAAGACTGCGAAGGAGGCTAGGTTATACCGAATATACTGATACAGAATGATACAAATGCAGATACAGAAGCTGGCGTGTTACGCCGAAGAGCGGTTATACCCGGAGTATACTGATACAGATAAAGATACAGATGCAGAAGCTGGCGTGTTACGCCGGTGGATGGTTATACAGAGTATACACATACACATACACATACACATACACATACTGAATGCAGCTGAGATAAAGATGACTCACCACGAGCAGACGTCTGACTTGCGAACTCCTCCTTCCCCTCCACAGTGATGACCGCCACCTCCAGGTCTCCCGTCTGGCTCACATCGAACAGGCACTCCGTGTCATTGCCACAGATCTCGCGCGCTCTGGTCTCCAACTCCGGGTCACTGAAGACGATTTCGTCAGTGTACTCGGGCTGGTAGTCGGCGGAAGTAAAAGTGTCCACGTCTTCTCCATCCTTGTAGAGAAACATGGACTTCTTGGGTCCATCTTCTGTCGTGACCCGCCCTGGATTCAGAAAGAGATTGAACGTTAGCTATGACCTCTGAACACAGTGACAACAGCAGGTCTTGTTTTTAAGATTCTATCTGCGTACTGTTGGTGAAACTGTTCACATTTTCCTTGTGTTTGCAGTAACATAGACACTTTTTTATCCATCTCACCCATCTGTTGCTTGATTTGGATTCATACAAATTACTGAAGTTTCTTTGAAACCCTAAACGAACGAGCAAGATCCCCGTTATTCCTAGATAAAGATCAGAACTTACACGAATTTCCAAAATCATACAGCTCTCGTTCCGTGGAATCAGCCGAGAACACGGTTCCGTCGAACGCCTCGAAGTCGTTAGCCGAGTCTCCGTCCCACCGGCCAAGCAGACCTCGCACCTTCCCGAGGAACTCAGGAGGGGCCGAGAACTCCACGGCCAGCATGCCCTGGGCGGGGTAGAAGCATCGCAATCAGCCCTTACAGACTTCACGCCCTTATCCATACTGCTCTTCGACTCTTCCAGTCTCACAGACAAAAAATGCAGCACTGATTGGTGTATAAAAACTCTGTACTGTCTATATTGGAAAAATATATTTTTTTTTTTACAAACAGAAGAAGAGTTTCACGACCTCATCATACCTTCGGCAAAAGATTTTAACCCTTCCGGTGGACGAATTATAATTTTTTGTACATTAAATTCGCGAATAAGAGCCAAATCACATCACTTGATCATATTCTCCACCCAATGGCGATGATAATAAGAGTGATATTTTAATTTCTTCACATAAATTATGAAAAGGGTTATTACATGAATAAATTATGTTAAATATGTTCAAATTCACATAGCTTCAAAATGCGGCAAGTATTCATTTTCCAGCAGTTATTTATCATTATGACATTATTATCAACCACATGCAAATTGGGTCATCACAGGTGTTTCAAATGAATTTTATGGAACAAAAAAAATTAAAAATCAACGCTACCGAAAACATAAATCTTCTTGCTGAAGGTAAATGTGTAAATAACCATAAAACCACGTGTTGTAACTAGTTGATCACACTGCCTTGACAAAGGAAGGCGCTTCACAGCAGAAAATCACAAAAATATCTTTTACTTTCTTGGCGGAGATTTTGACGGTCACCCCACTGAGGAAGACGACGAGAATGGAGTCGTTGGAAGGTTTGAGGATAACGGCGTTGTCTCCGACCTCTATCTCTTCAGTGTGTTCAAACACCGAGGTGTCCGTCATGCTGCCGTTTACGTAGAGATCCAGACTGGAGTTGCCGACTAAGTTTGTCTGTATGGGGAGTTTTCCTCTCTCGTAAATGACAACTGCAGAGATGACAGTTGCATGGCTGCTTCCTGTACAAGTAAATGTAAATGTAGAACAGTAATTACCTTCGCCAAGAAGGCAAGAAGGTTATGTTTTCAGAGGAGTTCGTGTGTGTGTGTGTGTGTGTGTACATTGTATGCCTCTCTCTGTGTGTTTGTGTTTATATAAACCCTTTAACTCGAGAAGGCTTTAATGGATTATCGTCATATTTGGTAGGTTGGTAGGTCTTCAGAAGACCTCAAAACTAATAAATTTTGGGCCCTCTGGCGGCTTGTTTTAGCTTAAATGATGCTTGACATAATCATATGACAGTTATGCAAATATTGATTTTTAACTTAAAATTTGCATAATTCATGAGGAAATTCTATAAATCCACTGCATTAATTACATCATAGGACCATTCAAGCTAGTGACATATGTAATTGAGAACGAGTGAAACACAGCTGTTACGTATACGAACCTGGAGCAAGAGATGTCCGGCCTTGAACCTGGTACTCCCCGTTGTCGACATCAACGATGATGTATTCTCCCAGACCGTTGAAGGTGTAACTTTTCCCGTCCAGGGTGTTGAAGTGGGGATCCCACCAAAACCACGTCCAACCTGGAAGAAAAAAAAAAAGATGCCTCAGAAGAAAACTTTCTATCGTGATTATAGAGGCAAGAAAGAATTTTCCTTTGATGTTTTAAAACAACGGAACACATTTTATGAGAGGAAATGGGTGGTGGTTTTGAAGTGAAGACAATTATTTTGAAGTCCAAGCCAAGAAGAGATGATGCAAATAAGTCAACTTATTTGCATATAAATCAATAGTTTGTGCTTATAAACCTGTAATTCTCCTCTGGTCTCTAAGTCACTGACGAAAGCTAGTGGATACTAGCTGAAACGTCTGACCGTTTCCAAAATCATATCCAGTTGCTTGTCATGATGATGAGTACCTGCTTTTTGGGGTATCTTATTACCGGATGTCTGACCATGTCTGACCTCAGGTGACTCCATATGGAACTATGTTCTATGTTCTATTCAGCATGTGCAACGGGTAAATTGTACATTGTGGCACTTACTGCATCAGTTTAGACTATCGTGTAAGCTATATGATAATAGCGTTAATGCCCCGCCCTTTCTCGGTGAATATTGTGTGATAAAGCCTTGTCAGTTGCTTTAACCACCTCATAAAGCCACCTCGCTCGCTGCGCTCACTTGGTGGCTTTATTCTGTGGTTATAGCAACTGACAAGGCTTTATTACACCATATTCACATCGGGGCGGGTCATTAACCCTTAAATGATATCCATATCAAGATGTACTCACCGATGTTTACCGGATAATGTCTACACCCGGTAGCAGACGACGGAGTAGTCAGCGGTCGCAGAGTTTGGAACCTCTGACAATACCAGCCGCCTCTCAGACCGGAGGCACCGACACAACAGCTCTGGTAGGCCGCCTCGTCAGCAGCCTGGTTATTCTGTAACAGTAAGGATACACGGTTGGCCAAAGTGTGTAATAAACAAGATTGAGATAGTTCTTCTTATCCGACATAACATATGCCTTGAGGTTCTTTTCAGCGAAAGATGCCTTTGAAGATGCTAGGGTTACGTAAAACTGCATACGTGTTAGTTCTTCAAGTTGATGTACACTTCAAATGCACGAAAGAAAATAGTGTAAAATATGTGTCTATACAAATCTACTTGGTAATTTGAGGTCTAAATATTACCTACTCACTGTAAATATTTTTACTTGGATATTTGCTTGGTTGTAAATATGTTTGGATATTAACCATAGATTTTTTTCATATTTTCGTACATCATCATCACAAGATGTGATGAAAATTAGACCACTCACAATAACAAGATGCCCCCCTGCGTGACCGGTCAGAAGAGATCCACCACCAATCCTGCTCCTCCACCTCCTCCAATTTCGCCCGGAGTTTGATTCCGTCCACCAGTACGCTCTGGAGTAGCAGCAGGTCCGGGACATGATGAGTTTCTCCGCGCCGACAAGCGTGTGGACACGCCGCCTGCTCCTGCCGCAGAACCTGGACTGGCCGAACTGAGAGCTATACACGGTGTACCTGCACGCAAAGGACCAGAGACCAAAAGACTGTAAGAAAGTGCCTCTCTCTCTCTGTCTCTCTGTTTCTCTCTCTGTTTCTGTCTCTCTCTCTGTTTCTTTCTCTCTCTCTGTCTCTCTCTGTTTCTCTCTCTGTTTCTGTCTCTCTGTTTCTGTATCTCTCTGTCTGTCTCTCTCTCTCTCTCTGTGTATCTCTCTGTGTTTCTGTCTCTCTCTCTGTCTCTCTCTCTGTCTCTCTCCCTGCTAGAGTAGTTTGCAATCAATGGCACGAATATGTTGTTTTTGGAAGCGGGTGTTATATAAAATACCACGAGGGCGACCAACCACAGAGACAATCTTTTAAATACCCTGTTCCCACAAACTAATTCGAACTGTGAACTTGATAGTTGTAATTTGAGATGATGGCAGTGATAATAAGGCAATGGACATAGTAAAAACATGGCAAACGGACTTAGAAACGCTATACATATCAGATGACATATCTAAAGTGTATCAAAGTACACTAACGTTGGATCATGGAATGCCTGTTCTGCGGAACAAGGACAGGAGGAGACGGGAGGTAAGGCACTGTAGCCGAGCAGCTGAGTAGGATCCTCCACTATCTGTTGTCTCATCCACCGTGAACACTCCACCACCGCCGACTCCGGTACAGCTGTGTTCTCCTGCGGCTGGAGGGCGAACTTCCAGTTTCCTGCAGAAAAATAATAAACCGAAGATTTTACGCCTCCTTGAATTATTCATAGTTTTGTGCACATGAGTTTCTTGTGTTATTCATTATTGTGAATTTCTCGCTGATTCTGTGTATACTCAACAGCGGCGCATAATTATATATATATAAAGGCATTGACTTTCTTAGTTCCTACCATTAACTTCCTCAAAACCCGTAAGGAGACCATTTTCATCTCCAATTCGATTTCATTTCTCTCTGTCCTCAGGGGGACCGTTTTTACCTCTGATTCGGCTTTCCTGTCAGTATGTGGTTGCACCATTTCCTACCTACCATCCAGTGACTTATGCTTAGGTCACACTGAAATTATATTGGGTTGGGTGACAAAAAATTCCAGTACAAAAAAGAAACCCCGATAAAAAGCCTAAAACACGCCAAAAATAACCCAAACCCAAATCTCTGCTTGCAGAGTATGCATTTGCCTCGAAACACATGTCTCTAAACTAGTGTATCCATTATCCAGAAAAAAATCCTGCAAATTCACTACTAATTTGTGCTGTTAAAACCTGTAGCTCACCTCCGTACACCTGCCACAGATACCTCATGGACACTTCCCTCGCGGGAGGAAATCTCTGCCTGGTGCAGTCCTGTCCGGAGAAGTCAGCTTCCCTGTTTCTGCTCCTGTACACGAGGCTGGAGTTGGTGGCGGGGGTGTAGGGGTAGCGGCCTGTCCCGTCTCCGGCACTGTAACCTCCCACAGCGACAGAGCCGTCAGACTTCGGACACTTACGCGTTCCTCCTTCCCTTGCTTCGTCTGCAAAGTGCATTTTACAATATTGATATGAATCTTTATTACATGTTCCTGCTCAGACGGGCTAAATGCACATACACGTACAAGAGTATGCAAAACATGAGTATTTCATACTGGAACGCTATATTCTAATGCAAAGTGCTAGGAATCTATACATTACAACAATAGTATATACTACATATCTTTTTGAAACATTTCGAAACATAATTACATAGTTTGTCTGCTATACATTCGTTCTTGCATGACATCGAGTCAATTAAACGTGTCCTGCTTTGACATTTTTTTTTCAATTTTACTGTAGTTACCTTAAGACTTGATGTTGAGTTTAAACAGAAATGAATGCACGATTCTACCCTGTGTGCCAGACTAGTATCGGGCCGTTAGCCGTTTTCCTTCGGCAGCCAAGAGCCCTTCGCCCGCCTATCTAAATACCCGATACTAGTCAGGCACCAAGGGTAGCGCGATTCTTTACTAGAGAAAGAGTTTAGATCATGTTCTCTAGAACTATTATTGAAGTCATTAGATAAAATAGTTTCATAATTTTGAGGAACGGTTTCTCTTTACTATTTGTTGATAAAAAGGGTTGCTGCGATGGTTCAGACTTTTTTTAGCTGCAGGAGTATAGTACGTGAAAATAAACAGTCCTTACCGGTGCTTACCCACTGTTGTTTCATTGCGGGATATACAAACGTAGCGTAGGAGTGGGTCCCGCTGGTAGATATGGCCAGTTGGAAATCGTTCACCTGAAAATATAGATATATAATATTGCTTATGAATTACTCTCGCTAATGGTTACTCTACAAGGTGATATACATTATGCACTGAGCTTCTGCCTCTTCCCATACGAAGGAATATGTATAGTCTTCGCAGACACAAGTTTGTTTACAATCGACTGTAAATGTGTATTTTGAAAGACTATATTTGATTTGATTTATTGAAATTGCAACAGTGCAGTACACGCGGAACAGAGGCAGCTATATTGCTGGTGTTGTGTCCCGCACATAGAAACGAATACTGGACAGACAATACTCATTTTCACTATTAAAAAGTCGTGTAAAGTGCCTTTCCCAAGGGCACAAGATCGGTGGCATGTCAGGACTCGAACCCGGAACTTCTTGATTCCGAGTCGCGCACGCTGCCGTTGCGCCACACGACCCCATATTATAGCTACATGGAAAGTGGCTCGGACTCCAGGTACCGACCTTGCTGCAGAACTTACCGGGAGCTGGTCGTGTGATCGCGGGCACACCCCGCCGCCATACATGCTGCAGTCCGGGGGCACCCTGGTCCACGTCACCACTAGCGCCCACACCGGTTCATAGGCTAAAACAAAGGTACCACCTTGATTTCTATCACCACAATGTTATTTTAGACATAGTTATAGCTTTAGACAAATACCTTTCATTATGTAGATTTTAGTTATTTCATACTCTATTTCAATGTTCTTTTATGTTTGTAATTTGCAATTAGCCTCCGGACATAAATAAAAGGTTGTTTCACGATGTACACCTCCCTGAGGTGTATATGGTGAGATAATCCCTGGACAGGTGAGCGTAGGTGAGCGGTCATCATGAGCGTAGGTGGTTATTGGACGTGATTAATGATACGGTCTAAAAAATGGTCGGTTATTCTAATAACCGACAACTTTTGGGGTTACGACCTGATAGCCAAAAGAAAATGGAGCCCTCTGATTGGTCGACGCACATCGTGCAAGAGAACTGAGTGTGAGTGAGTGAGTGATTGGTCGACGTCTTCTGACTATATGATAATTTGCAATAATTTTGCAACTAGTCAATATAACCAGAGCCCACGATACACACGACATATTGCCAATGGCGACTTTTCTTTTTTGGTCACGTATCTATGAATGGTCGCCCATTCCATTTGTTTGCTAGATCTGTTGTTACCATGATGCTTCTACATTTATACAATTGCCAAATAGGTTATTCAATATGTTGCTATTGTATACTGACCTGTTGTTAGCCCAGTGGGTAAAATAGTACAATAAATCTCTTTATTAATTCATAAAGACATTAAGAAAAGACGTAGTAGATAATTCTAATTACCTTACACTGATAGAAGTTTTACTTATGAAGTTTGTGGCTTACTTGGAGAGAAGTACCCAGGTGTCGATCTCCCGTCATTCCTTGCCCTCCGCAGCACCTCGTCTGTGGCCGGTTTCCCGTCGCCTCTCTCGTAGAAGCTGTAGTAAATCTTCGTCCTCTCATCTTCAGGAAGATTGTCTAGAACTGTAAAGGCACAACAATATTAAGTACCCAGTCATCGAAGTAGCCAGCCTCTTCAAGTCTTTGTTTTTTTCTCAAAATTGACTGTTACAAACTGAACATAGAAACCGGGAGAAAAAAACATATCGACCAGAGGTCCATTTTGTCCAGGGTTAATTGAGAAAGAATATCGCTTTTTGTATTATTTGATTGCATGTCCTAAATATACTCTATACACTGGACTATCAGATTCTATTCCAGCACGTACCACAAGTGATTTGAAAAGCAAATCGAAATACATAATGACTTGTGACAACCCCGGCATGCTATACATGTGGATATATATCAAAGACTGTATAGATATCAACTCCTCCAATGATTGTAAAAGTTCATTCCTATCCCATACTAGCCACCCACTCTTGTATTATTTATGTCAGCCTTATGAAAATGCAGTTAATATGTCTAATGTATTCTAGTCTTTTCAACTCCCTCTCACATCTTAGTAATTGTATAAATGTATGAGGCTGTATGAGAAGCTAGATTTGGTTTATTAAAGACTAACAGGAACATAATTCTTCTTTACTTGTCAAGTAGATCATAACCCAAAATATGTGTCCATCACTGTCATATGAAAGACCATCTACGGTAAATGGAATTCGTCCTCTACTCTACCTACACTACAAAATTGGCAGATTCTTTGCTCTAGAGTGGGGTTATGTCTTCCTGATTCGATTTGCAATTTGTGACAACTGACTCTTAGTTTTGTAATGGTGGATCTTTGGCGAACATTTGCTAACTGTATAATCGGAGTTTATTCTTCGCATTTGCAACTTTGATATCGCTGTGGATTTTGGATAGTTTACTTACGAGTAGCGTTAGACTTGGCCAGGAAGGGTGCCAGAACCGCGGCCCTGCGGAAGCCGAAGGTGTTCTGTATCAGGGCGGGGTTCCGGGGGCGTTTGATATGATCGAAGCCGACGATGCCGTTATCGCAGATCTGAAACCGAACCGGATCGGAATATCCGTATTATTGTTCATTGCATCATCAAAAGCTATTGTACATACGTGTTTTCATTATAAATATCGCAGGACTACATGCTTACGCAAGGCCTTAAATCATTAGCTCGCTTAGAACCTGAATTCAAAGATCCCCTAGATCTAATTGTTCATTCTCTGGATCTGTACATGCAGTTCAATCTTGACGCATTAGTAGTAAAATAGATACTGCTTTCCTTTCCATAATCAATATCAAGTCATTATCTGTTTGTTAAAAGAATTCATGACTGTCATTTATGAATCAATTGGCATCCCTGGTGGGTGTTTGCTGTCTCCCGAGCCATTCATGGCCACGAAGGGCCGTCTTTGCCCATTCGTTTGTTTGTTCTTTTTTTTTGTTTATCAACTTGATTCATCACTTCACTATAATATTACAACTGAAATCAAGTTACTGAAATCAGCCTGGGGGTCAGGTTTCATCGAGGTCGTGAGGAAGAGGTCGGGGTCAGACAAAGTATAACAAGATGAAAGAATGATCAACGTTCTACTGAGTTCATAGACAACACTACCTCCCACACCGAACCACGTACAAGATAAGAGCAAACTATGATCAGAAGTCCCAGCTTACGTGTATCTGGTGGTGACGCCGTCCAAAGAAACGGAAGCCTTCTCGCGGCAGAGACTCTCCGGTGCAGGTTGAGAAGTCCCACCGACGGGGCGTCTCGCCAGCCTCCTCTCCGTACGGATACATGTCGTCATCTGGCGGTAAAACATAAAAGTTCGAAGCTGTTAGGCTGGGGTTAAATCTATAATTTGCCATTGTGTGTGGACTATCCATATTAGGCCCTTTTTAAAGAGGCAAGGTAAAGCTGGCCTGTCCTTCTTATAGATGCTGAAGTATCTGAAGTCTACGCGCCAGAGATGAGCATACTGGTACAGTATTGTGTGCAGTCTGCAAGATTTTTACGAATTCTATTGTACCTATTCACTTTGAGCTGCACAAGCCAGTATTCCTAATAATATTCAGACGACAATAAAGAAAAACATGATAACAGTTTGCAATCGACACAAAAACTCACTAAAATCACAGCAAGTGCCCCAGAATCCGTCGGGACACGAACACGAGTACGAAAGGGGTGTTCCACCGTTGTGACAGAACCTGTTACAGGGCTGAGTCTGAAGTTCCGGTGGCCTACAGCCGCTGGCCGTGCGGGTCTTGATGCCTGCGTTTCCGCAGCGCGCGTTACAGGTACTCCATTCATTCCAGTGCCAGGTGCACCGTCTCACTAATCCATGTCCTCTACGCCTCCAACACGTCGCACGGTCCGTGTAGACTAAAAGAACTGCACCTAAGGCCAGAAATGCCCGGACGCCGCACATTTTGGACACAAACTTCCTCTGCCGTTTTCAAACTGTCAGCTACTTCCCCCTGTGTCTCGGACAAGTTCTGCCCTGAGCGAGGTACGTTATTTGTTGTTGAAGAAACCTTAAACTGCAAGCTATTGTATGACGTTTGGGGGGTCAGCGAGTTCTTAAAGGCCTTGGGTTTCGCAACGGGTTTTAAAATAGCGTGTGCTCCTCAGGGTGGGTGATCGGGAGCCGATGTTTTGGCATCCGAGTGAGAGAGTGACCTTAGGGCTTACGTGTAGTTAACATGCTGTTGTTTAGTGGTTTTTAGTGTTTGTTTTTTGTGTGTGTTACTTGTGATGTTATGTTGAGCGGAACTGTAATCCTGCCTTCTGGCTGTCGGACTACACAAAAGAACAGGCACACGTCATACCCTACCCTGACTCTGCCGGGGAATACCCTGAACCGACCTGGCTCGCTGCCAGGAGCTGCTATTCAAGCACGTCGGCAGAACGTACTGCGCCTGCGCAGAACCCCGTATTTTAGCGTTTTTCGTTGGGTTTTTGGTCAACGTTGCATCAGAATTTTGCCTGTTGCAGAGGATATTCTTTCCGACATAACATTTGGAAACTACTGTCGAAATGCTAACCTTATATGAGCGAAAACAACCTTATATGAGACATTCTGCCGAAATGCTATGTACAATACATAACGGGTTTCGCGCAGGTGCAGTACGTTCTGCCGACGTGCTGGCTATTCATATCCCAATCATGACACAAAAATTATTCAACTTCATGGCGTCGGGTGGCGTACTGGTAGAGCGTTTAACTATGAAACGGCGAGACCCGGGTTCGATCCCAAGTTGTGCCCTGGACATGTACATGCGCCCCGAAGTTGTGAAATTGGGAAAGGTACTTTACACGGCTTTCCTCAAAATGTGTGGAGCAAATATGTTTTATGTATCGTGTATATTACGGGATTGTAAACCCTGCATCAATTCAGCGCTATAAAAGTGTGCGACTGCAAGGGAAATGTTTCACCAATGAATCATTTGACCAACTACCGTCACCATGGCGGTGTCTTTTTGCGTTGCCTGTTTTCGTCGAGGTTTAAATTTCCTTGTTCTAAAATGCGCACAGTGTGACATGGGTCACTTCAAATGTTTCAATAGAAAATCAGCTTGAGCTTGAAATTTTCTTTAATTTTAAGGACGACTATTCTTCAGTTAAAGATATCATTAAAAATAAATAAAATTAAGATTCGAACTTTACTACTGGATAAACAACCGATTAATAGATGTTTTGAACTAGACAGTGTCTGTCCAACACTCTTCATTCGTAACGGGGAAAAATTAGGCCAGCTATATATTGTATTCTATATAGATAGAACATCGGTCTGTATGTACATTTCAACGTCAAAACACGAGTAGTTGTGGATGGATCTTTTTGATATTTTGTATGTAAGTAACTGTTGTGAATATGAAAGTCAAGCTCAAAATGGTCTATCGGGCTTTTTCAACGGTACTGCAGTGGGCTGTCTATCTATCTATCCATCTATCTATCTATATATCTGTATATCCATGGATAACCAATCTTTTCAAACGAATCATGGTGTCCTACCTCGGCATATCCGCCCGTCCACCAGACGGTAGTTACGGCGGCAGCTGCACTCTCGGCCGCCAGCCACGTTGCGGCAGAAGTGCTCACAACCACCATTGTTTGTGGCGCATTCATTAATATCTGGAGATAAACGAAAGCAAATAAATGGTATTAGCGTGTTGTCACAGTTTTGTACAGTACTGTCTTACTTGAAGGAATAAGATACAGACTGCATCGGTGGTTCAAGCAGGCATTTTAGCCCATCTCTGTTATGTTGTAATGTTATCTGCCACTCCACAGTATGCAGTCAAAACAAGATAAGACTTCACGGGTAATAGTGACGGCTGGTTGAGCATGAATGTAGGACTTTCATACCATTGCAGGTGACAGAATTAGAAAAAAAATGGTTACCTGTGCAGGTATGGCCGTCGGCAGATAAGGTGTACCCTGCATCACAGGTGCAGTAGTACGACCCGTGCGTGTTGTGGCAGTTCTGTTCACAGCCGCTCACACCTCTAGCACACTCGTCGGTGTCTGGGATTTCTGGGGAAAATATTAGGACGCTCTTCTTTAAAATAATGCATACAAAATACTGCATGATACCATTTATTAAATATTATGATATAGCCAGAAGGTCCCATTTCCTATTGGTTATGGTGAGATAACCACCTCATAAACCACTTCGCACACTTGGTTTATTCGGTGGTTATCGCACCTGACCAGGGATTATCTCATCATATACACTTTGGGGCGGGGCATTACCCCTTTTTTTCGATTCTGTTTGCTCTTTGATAACAGGAAAGTAGTTATAACTTATTTTGTATTCAATGAAGGTGTTTAGCAAAAAGAATATTGAATGACTTTTTTTTTTTTATCCAACATGTAATCACCAGACGTGGTGACGACACACTCAAGTTTTTTCAACTTATATTAATGCCGCCACCAACACAGGGGACAGATACATGACAGGACAATACTCATTTACACCTGAGCTAAGTGAGGAAATTGAATGACTTGTAGATGAAATAGTTTTTGGAGGTAGTTGGTGGTACTTCTTACACTCTATCAAAGAGAGACAATGTTGTATCGTACCGTGGCAGACCGTCCCGTTAATAAGATGTAGCCCGTCGTTACAGGTACAGTTGTAAGACCCTTCTGTGTTGATGCAGGCGCCGTTCTCACGGTCACACTCGTCTGTCTCATACCAGCACTCGTCCACATCTGAAAGAAATAAAATACAGTTTCTTAGTGGGTAGCTACAAAGAAAGGAACATATCTCAGATCTATGTTCAGCATACCTTCGTACGGCTACATTTATGACAGAAAAAGAACTTAATTGCACGACAATTGTACAAAGTACAACGCATAGCAACGACTACTAAACGAAAAGGGTATAGAATGAAAAAAAAACATCCTAATTACTAAACATCTAGAGATAATACTGCATACAGTCAAGTAGGGCTAATTATCAGTTTCCGCATATTTTCTAATAACAAAACAATATGAAAACCGCATAACCTGGGACGTGGGCCTGCTTTGTTGACTAAAGGTACTACGTTTAGGTGAGGTGATCAGTGATAAAATATACACTTTACATATGGCCTTGCCACTGAATGTCAATTCACGCTAATAGCATGAGGGGAACATTACCGTATTCGCACTGCAGGCCTTCCCAACCTTCATCACATTCACAGAGGTTCGTATCCACACACAGTCCGTGTTCACATGGGTAGTAACAGTCGGCTGCGAGAAACAGAAAGATTGACCAAAAATGTTTAAGAAAAAAATGCCAAATGATTCTAATTTGGTCAAACTAGTCAATGATCCAATGATATGACTTTGTTAATGTTGTGAATGTAATCTGTGTCAAGTGGAACATTAACATATACAAATTTTGCAAATAAACACTTTATTTGCACAATCAATGCAAAATTGCTATAATTACTCATTAATGATGGGCATTTCATACTTGTGAGATAAGTAAGTTTTTTTAAAGGTTGACATCCCTATACATATATCATGCTGATGTAGATGTCATTTAATTTGCATAATCGATGGAATTTTGATATGAAACCTAGACTAATGATAGGATATGACTTCCACATACACCTATATATTTCGAGTTATGAAAACTATATATAGAATAGATCATGCTACATGCAATCATTATAGGTCTTCAAATTCTTGTTGCCTTTAATTAAGAGGATCTAGGGTAAAGGACAACATTTGTAAGATAAACATTGCCAATTTCTCTGCAATAGATTGCCTGCAGAACACTTTATACAAAAACATTTAATGAAAAAAAGTTGCCTTGTTACCCTGACAGGTGTCTCCGATCCTGTTCCAGCCGACACAGCACTCGTAGTCGGTGAAGTACTCCGTGGCGTAGACAGTCACCAAACTTCGGGGGTTTCTAACCATGAAAAATCAGGTTATAAGAAGCAACTATAAATCTCAAACTGATGCAAACATGCTCCGTACAAGTCACTGTCATTTCAATAGATTTATAAAACAAGAAGTAAAGCGATTGATGAATGAAGTAGCACAATGATAGTCTAAAAGCTGGCGTAGTTATGTTCACCTTCGCATAAGGAAAATGTATCGTTTTGCTCATTTTCTCCTTCCTCTGCTTCTTCTCAAACAAGTAAGATCAATGACCTGAACTAGACGCCTGTCACATGGTAACTTGTGTTGGGTTACATTATGTTGCAATTTTTTAGTAGGAGGGATTTAGATTCCTGTCACCATGTATATGAATGTGTTTAAGTTAGAATTAGCAGAGCAGACCATATGTAAAGGTTAACATTCTGCCTTTGCTTTGCAAATATTACCTTTCTAGTTAGAATAGTATTTTCAAATGCCATATTTGTCCATAGATATGGGTAAGCACGGTGGTATAATAAAGTATGGGATTATAACATAATTGCCATCATTGCAAAACGCCACACACCTGGCCTTTGTAACTCCGAAGACGTCCCACATCCTGAGATAGTCCCAGATCCCTGATGACGGTTGCCGTCTCCTCCTGTTCTCTACAGTGTACATGACCTGTCGGGACGCCTGACGTGTGCACACAGCGCCTTCAGGCCTGTGGGAACAGAGCACGGTGAACACAGGTTTGTATGTTTTGTCCTATATTTCATTGGTTTGATTCCTGCTAAACTTTTTTATGCCCCCCCCCCCCTTTTTTTATTAATTTTTCAGTTCTAAATCAGGTCATTAGTCCTTGACGTCTTCTGTGCTGTTGTGGCAGTCAGGGTTACATATAATTAGTACGCATTAGTGTGTTTCGGTGCGCTGCGATGCGTTCATGCGAGACATGCTCCCAACTACATACAGGCACTGTAAATGTGCAACCCATATATCATATTTATATGGGTCCAGCAGGACAAGGGTTAACATAAAGCATGCTAGCAATACCCTCAATAATTCTAAATATCCAGGGGTGTTTCAAAGACTGCCTCGGGTGATGAGGACAGTAAACTACGTGATTGCACGCTAAAAACAAAATGAACCCCCTAAAGTACTGTACAAATAGAAAAATAACATTAAAGAAGGTAAAGGATACCTTATAACCGGTAGTGTAAACAATATATTCATTTCAGGTTCTTGATTTATCGATATACTTGTAAGTTAGTTCATTACAGACACTAGTATCCACTTGTTAATCAGCATTTCCTCCTTTAGTCCAAGAACTTACAAATCAAACATCGGGCAAATATAATGAACGTTCTATTCAAATTTTAATTGTATCCACTTGTTTGTAGGTATAGTTGTACAAGGTATGTTTTTTTTATATTCCAACATCTATTCACAAGACGTGGTGACGGCACACTCAGTTTTTTTTCAACTTATATTAAAGCCACCACCAACACAGGGGACAATACAATACTCATTTTCACCTGCGCGACGTAAGGAAAGTCATGTAAAGTGCCTTTCCCAAGGGCACAAGAACGGTGGCATGTCAGGACACGAACCTGGGACTCCCTGATTCCGAGTCAAGCGCTCTGTCGCTACGCCACATGACCCCACGTACAAGACATTACGAACGTCCTTTTTTGTGCCAAGAAAGAGTCACCCAGAACAGGCCTGAGCTTGTTTTTGGTAACCATGCATGACGTGTGGTTGGTTGTTTACGTTGATCCAAATGAACAACAAGGCTATTGTCCTTTTGTGTTAAGCCGACGTCATTGCTGCAGATCAAGTAATGGATATGTCCGTCCACATTTAACAGTGCGATATACATAATTAGTATACTATAAAAGGCATGAAAGGATTTGGAAATATTCCAAGCTCATAAAAGTAGCAGTAGCAGTAATAGTAGACTTGTTTATATGTCCACATCAACAACCACTTGACTGCATGATTGGCCCCATTACAGCCGTGACGGCTGAATAAACAATGCTCGTTTACGTAGCTCTACACGCAAAGGTATGGGTCAGTCCAAAGGTAGACGGGTACGTTTCATTCTTGGTATTGATATGTGTTTTCCCCGAAATCTGTGTTTTTGGACTGTCACGAGAAGCCTTCGAGTTCTGTATCTGTATAGCCAGTATAACCGCCTTTCGGCGTAACACACCAGCTTCGCAGGCACGCGGCGCGGCGGCAGCTGGCTATATTACACCGATCGAATTGTTAAACCTAACCCTTGAACTTCTAGCTATAGACTTTGTTTAAAGCTATCTATTGACAATGCCCCTACTGTACTTGGTGATAGCGAGTTCCACTCTGCGATAGTTCTATGAAAGAATGAATTCTTGAACACCTCAATCCTTGGTTGATAACTCTGGTACTTGAGTTAAAAGTGTCCACAGACCCCAGACGCTCTAAGCGTAAAACAAAGAATAAGTACACGATGTAGAAGAAGATTCTTTTTCATGGTCTTTCATGGTCACCGATGAAATGCCTACTACTACCTACTGTACATGTATTTGTAGTGTGCACCTGTTTTGGGACATTGTGTTTTGCTCGTTTGACTTATATTAAGAACGTCTTACTTTCCCCACTTAATCTTGTAATAGAAGGGGCTTGACGAATCCAAAAGCTACACATGAATAGAACAATTACCTTTATCGTCATCTACCGGCTTTTATCAGCCGAGACCAAGTTATCATGTAAAAGCCCCTGTCAAGTATTGCTCTTTCTAAGCTATAAAGAACCTAAAAGACGCCCGAAGAGCAGCAGAGTCAACAAAGCTATCTGTTTTTTTTTTAAAGAGGCACAACATATATTTTCATTATATATTAAAAGCCTTCGAGTTAAAAGTCTCCACAGAGCTTGCTCAGTCTCCTCGTGACATTTCATGGAAAACGAGATTATGCCCGTAGCCCGTAGCTGGGGGGAGGGGGTTCTTCCCACTGTCTGAAAGACCAGCGAGCACCGTACGCACGAGACGAGCGCCGAAGCCGCGAGTTTCCTAAGGATCATGCCCCCGGAAAATTTGAGCCTTCTGAAATGGTATTTCCTGCATTTTTAGAGGAGTTCAATCAGAGATAACTCTTTATTCGATGGCAAAGTGACCAGCTTATCTAGGATTCCCGTCCCGCTTGTGATACAAATCAATCTGTCTTTTAAAGAAAAATATTGGACTTTTAGGCAAAAAGACCTTTGAGCCTTGGGGGGGGGGGGTTTCCCAACGGGCATGGCAAATGCTATAAATTTCGTCATCATTGGAAACAGGAACCTGCTAAAAGGCGTGAAGCAAACTTGACGGAAAGAGGAACAGTAACTCACACTGATGTTTTTTTTTTTTACTTTTAAAACGGACATTTTGAAAAGTGCTCGTATTACAAAGACACAACTCAATTAACAGTTGCCATATATTCAACTTAGAACCAAGAAGGTAACATGTATATATCGTTTTCTAGACATATTAGTTTAGTGTCAATATGTTACTAACGTCGCCAAAACAATCGGGATTACTCGGCCATCTTGAGGCAGAACGCAGAGTTTGAGGTTTTAAGATTTCATAACCACGTGAAACAGGAACTCACGAAGTGGATTTCACGTCTCTCACAGCAGTCAAACCATTGAATTGTCTGGAAAAGTTAGTTAACACCGCAAGCACTTGAAAGAGGAACTCATCATGTTGTTTTCGACTCTGCGTTTCCTCATCTTACCCTCCTTGCTAAGACGAAGATACACACGAGTACCAAATAGAGTCAACATTGTCCCATTTGTAACACGTCTAACAAAGTTCAAAATATGGTGAAACTGTGGCTCGTGAAATTGAAAGCAACCTAAAGACATTAAACCACATTATCCCCCTGGAGTACTATACAGTACGAGAACTTACAAATCAAACATCGGACAAATGAAACGAACTTTCTAAAGATTTTTTATCAACTAGTTGGTTTGTCGGTATAGTTGTACAAGACATTACGAACGTACTTTTTTGTGCCAATAAATAGTCACCCAGAACAGTCCTGAGCTTGTTTTTGGTAACCATGCATGACGTGTGGTTAATTGTTTACGTTGATCCAAATGAACAAAAAGGCTATTGTCCTTTTGTGTTAAGCCGACGTCATTGCTGAAGATCAAATAATGGATAGGTCCGTCCACATTTAACCCTACCTAGACCGGGCTTTTTTTGACATGGGGGGACCTTTTGACCCCCCCCCCCTAAGAACTCGCGAACGGTATGTCGTATGACCACCAAATTTTCAGAGAATGGTGTACTAGTGAAAATTTATCATATCTACAATTTTTATGTCGTTATGACGTAATATGACGTCATTGTGACGTCATTAATGTGATTTTATTGGCCAAAACCGTCTAAATAGGTTTTTCCCTGAAAACTAAATGGTATTCAACATAACTGTACCAAAAGTGTTTATGACAGAATATTAGGGTGTACTAAGTCCTATGTTGCCCATAGCAACACCGGTGACGTCATAAAATGACGTCATGCATATTTAAGATATCCGCCATCTTGGATCATTAATCTTGAATTTTCAAAATAGTTTTTTTCATGATAAAGCCTAAAATACATTGTAAACATACTAAAGACCTTCATTTAAACATTTTTGGGAAAAAGAAATGGAAGTATTGACGAAATTTTAATGAAAATAACCTGTATATACCTGTTCTAATGATATGGTCCGCCATCTTGAATTTTGGCCAATGACGTCATCAAATTAGCATAAATTATGCATATTTAATGATAAAATTTACATAAAATTATATGGGATGTTATTAATATTAGAAATCATGAGTAACTTGACATAAAACCCATAAAATTCTATTGTTGAAACAAGAAGTACTAAATTTAGCAAAAAATGCCTGTCAGAAACCCGTTGCCATGGCAACACAAAAAATTATTATCTTATTCCAATGATAGAGAATTGTTGCCAACAATATTTTAGGAAAAGTCACCAAGTTTGGCCGTTCTACGGCTAGCCGTTCAGACGCTAGGTGACATCAAAGTTGCCGCGGGCACTTTTAGCCCCCCCCCCCGGTCTAGGTAGGGTTAACAGTGCGATATACATCATTAGTATACTATAAAAGGCATGAAAGGATTTGGAAATATTCCAAGCTCATAAAAGTAGCAGTAGCAGTAATTGTAGACTTGTTTATATGTCCACATCAACAACCACTTGACTGCATGATTGGCCACATCACAGCCGTGACGGCTAAATAGCAATGCTTGTTTACGTAGCTCTACACACATAGTTATGGGTCAGTAAAACGTTAGACGGGTACGTTTCATTCTTGGTATTGATATGTGTTTTCCCCGAAATCTGTATTTGTGGACTGTCGCGAAAAGCCTTTGAGTTAAAAGTGTCCACAGAACTCAGATGCTCTAAGTGTAAAACAAAGAATAACTACAAGTACAAGTACAAAGAATATGTAGAAGAAAATTTTTTTCATGGTCTTGCGAGAACGATGAAATGCCTACTACTACCTACTGTATTTGTAGTGTGCACCTGTTTTGGGGCATTGCGCGTTTGACTTAAATTAAGAACGTCTTACTTTCCCCACCTAATCTTGTAATAGAAGGGATCAACGAATCAGGAAGTTACACATGTCTAGAACAATTATAGCCTTTATATCACCATCTAGCGGCTTTTATTAGCCTAGACCAAGTTATTATATATTTTATTCTACACGCCCCTGTCAAGCATTGCTCTTTCTAAGTTATAAAGAGCCTAAAAGACCCTCGCGAGTGAAACACTTAAAAGAAGAGTTATTTGGGTTGTTTCTTTGAGAAGACGCACAACATACGGATCAAGATCAGTAACTCGAAAGTATTTGCTTCTGAATGTCTGAAGGACCAGCGAGCACCGTAGGCATGAGTCGAGCGCTGAAGCCGCGAGTTTCCTAAGGGTCTTGCCCCTGGAAAATTTAGAAAATTGAGCCTTCTAGATCTGGAATGGCATTTTCTGTATTCTTTAAAGGATTTACAACTTTCAGAAGAAAATCAGAGATAACCTTTTATTTAATGGCTAAGTCACCAGCTTATCTAGGATTCCAGTCCCGCTGGTGATACAAATCAATTTGTCTTTTAAAGAAAAATATTGGACCGTTAGATAAAAAGTGGACCATTGAGCCTTTGGGGGGCGGGGCTCCCAGATGCTATAGATTTCGTCATCATTCGAAACAGGAACTTGCTACAACGCGTGACTCGGTTGGGTTAAGGCAGCCTATGGCCAACTATGATTAGTATTTCATACATATGGCTGTAACTTTTGATAGCTTGGTCGCACCACAACTTAACTTCACACAGTTCTAGTAGTACTTGAAACGCATTGAGTAAAGGTTATTTTGTTTTTACTACTTCTGAATTTTTGGGTTAAAAATCAACATTTTGGTTAAAAAAAAGCTGTTTACTTCATGGCTTTACGCCCAAGCGGTAACAACACCTTTCATCATGATATTTTACAAGTAGAAAGCCAACCCCCTATTTATTATTTTTGTCCGAGGCTATTTTGTTTTAAATGACAGTTACACTGTTTTTTTGGGCCAAAAACGACAGAAACAGCTATTTTTCTGTCATTTTTCGTTAAAAAATCGCCACAGTTAAACAATTTCGACTTATATGCAAAATAGCCTCGGATAATTTTGATAAAAAAGTGATAATACGTAAACATGGATTACTCTAAAGATGAATTATGTTGTTTTCAGCTGGGCGTAAAGCCGTTTAAGGCATACTCCGAGAATAAAATGCGTAACAACGCGGGTTTACAGGGAAAACATACAAATGACCGCCGGTAACCCCGAATTCGAACACGCGTTCTATTCGAATGACGTCATATCGAACATGGTGGAACATGATTCGGGTTCGAAACATGTATGTGGCAATCGTGCAGACACACGCCCGAACTCGAACATGAATCAGCCTAGGCCGCCTTAACCCAACCGAGGAAGCAAACGTGACGGAAAGAGGAACAGTAACTGATACTGATGTTTTTTTTACTTTAAATTTAAAAAGGGACAGTTTGAAAAGTGCTCGTATTACAAACACACAACTCAATTAACAGTTGCTATATATTTACCTTAGAACCAAAATGTTATATGTATATGTCGTTTTCTAGATCGGGATTACCCAGGCCAACCGTCTTGAGGTAGAGAGCGGGGTTTAAGGTTTAAAGACTTTAAGTTTATAACCATGTGAAACAGGAACTCACAAAGTGGATTTTACGTCTCTCACAGCAGTCAAATCATTGAATAGTCTCGAAAACTTAGTCAACACCGCAAGCACTTGAAACAGGAACTTGTCATGTTTTTTCCGACTCGTTTCCTCATCTTACCCACCTTGCTAAGATGAAGATACACATGAGAACCAAATAGAGTCAATATTGGCCCCTCTGTAACAAAGTTACAGAGGAAGTTAATGTCAATCATTCTAAAGTCTAACAAATTTCGGGATAGGGTGAAACTGTGGCTCGTGAAATTAAAAACAACCTAAGGATGAACATCTAGGACAAAACGTTGATTCAACCTGAAGGAAATATAACAAAACTTCTGAATGTCAAGGTCGAAGCACGGGGCGTGTGGCGTAATGGCAGAGTGCTCGACTCGGAACCAAGAGGTCCCGGGTTCGCGTCCTGACATGCCATCGATCTTGTTTCTCTTGATGACACTTTACACGACGTTCCTCACTTCGCTCAGGTGAAAATGAGAATTGAATTGTCCCTTAATCCTGTGTTGGTGGCGGCATTAATATATGTTGAACAATTCACGTCTTGTAATTACATGTTGGAATATTTGAAAAAAAAGTGCAACAAGTGGAACATGTACTCACCCACGGAGTTGGGCCGAAGCGAAGTAGACCATCCCAAGAAGTAGTAGCAACGGAACGTACAGAGGCTTGTCCATTTTGAATGGCCTTTTCTTCATGTACGTCCAAACTCACAGCCGCCCCGAGCATGAAACCGCGCAAGTTACAACACAGACTCCGCTCTACCTATAACGTACTTCTGATTGCGTCTCTGGGACTTTCCAACCTGCTAACTTGGACTAAAAGGAAGTAACTGTCAATCATTCTGAAGTAAGTTCAGACCGCCCAAGTTAAACACAGACCGGGCAAGTTACAACATAGACTCAACTCTTCTTATAACGTACTTCTGATTGCGTCTCTGGGACTTTCCAACCTGCTAACTTGGACTAAAAGGAAGTAACTGTCAATCATTCTGACGTAAGTTCATACCGCCCCCTCGTCAACATGACACCCCCGTGTCTTTGTCCTCTGGTCATGATCCGTGTCGGTGAGTATGTACACCCAACACAAATTACACTTAGCCTTTTACCCAGGCCAACAACAGGACTGGTGTTACGTTTCCAGTGTTCAGAGAAGCGGACAGTCGTACCACGAATTCGGTAAGTGTTGACCGCTTTTTGACAAACCCCAGTCATACCTGACCATAATGATCATGTCTGCATAACATGTCCATGAAAAAAACAAAGAACGAGAGAACAACAGGACATCTTTTCATTTCTTTATTGTGCAAGTTATAGCCACACATTGTAAACAAAATCAAAGCAACAAAGCAAACAGTGCATCCGTGTTCCACTCCACACAAGTGATAGGTGCTGGTTGTTACTACAATCTTGGATCCTGTATGGGAAATTCTACATTTGACTACGTACGACAACTCATAAATTGATGAAATAGTTATCACTTAATGCTACACTTCAGCAGCGCTTAGATCTCTCCCAATCATTGCCAGGAGCCATGTTCAGTGTTTTATAAGCATCATCTTGTACGGGTGGCGCTTTCTGAATATCAACGTCCAAGCTAGTCGGAAATGCAGGAATTGTACCCGCGTACGAAATACTAGCTTTCGCAACGCCTACATCATCCTTATGCGTTATGTCAACCTCTGGCATTCCGGCTACAGCCGCAAAGCCTGTGGTAGCTCTGTAACCTTCCGTCGCCACATATGGTGGCGGTGGGCTAGGCGCTTCGCGAATTTCTTCAACGTACACGTTATTGTAAGTGGAATTACCCCAGTGCATGTGGCTGTAGCCGGGTGGGGAACCATGAGGTTGACATTGTGGAGCTCCAGTGTTTGCGAACCGTTGCTGTCGGCCAGCTTCTACGGGTGTCGTCTTCTTCTTCTTCTTGCAGTAGATGAAGATACTGAAGATGACCAGAAGCACCAGGGCCCACCCGCTGATTACTGTTGCCCAGATACTCCAGTCAACGTTCTGGAGTTCTGGCGATCCCCCTGGAGCTGTAAGGAACAAGGGACATCATTATCACCATCGTCATCGTTGGCGGGCCAGGAACAGTGTTAAAAACCAAACTGGACTTTACAAGAAGCCTTAACCTGTGTTTCACACTTTACCCACACATATATGAATGATAAAGAAACTGTGAGGGGGGGGGTAGAAAGGAAAGAAACATAAACAAATACTTATTGCATAACGCCAACCTCGGCCTCTTTCATTGTACTTTGAAATAGAACTAGCACTGCACGAAAACCTAGATTTACCGATACCTGTATAGTTGTGTAATGTTAACATTGCTTTTTCTTTAATAAACACTTCTGAACTTTACAATGGTAGTAAATGAAGGCCAAGTAGGTAATACCGGACTTAAAAAAGGGTTGTAAAGGAAATTACTGCAATTGACCTTTATTTACTACCATTGCAAAGCCAGATACTGTGTACATCGTAAACATTACCTGAGTTTACAACCTTTGGTAAACTCAACTTTTCGTGCAATGTAGTGAGAGAAAAGGTAGGCCGGCGGCCTGGTGCTTTTAAAATAGAACAAAAAAATGTATTTTCATGTCATCAAAAATGTAGTTAAATGTAAGAGTAGTGTTTTCACATAGATACCGGGAAAACCAAATCTAAACATGAGAGAAAAAATAAAACTTGATACATGATGTTGAAGATCAGGCAGGTAGAATGAGTACCTACAAGTAGTTTTGTCGGTCCTCAGTAGTCGCCTTGTAGTCATGCTGGCTGTAGTTGTGGTTTTGGTGGTTCTCTGTGTAGTTTGGGTTGTTGTAGCTGTGACACAGTGTGCAGGAATCTCTATAGCCCCCTGTGGAAGGCCCGCCGGTGTACTGCTGATGTCGGAGGTTGGAGAACTGACGCAGTGTGTAGAGTTGATGAGGTGGAAGCCGTCGTCACAGGAACAGGTGTAACATCCATCGTTGTTGTGACAGTTGTGGTGACAGGCGTGGGTCTCATACCAACACTCGTCAACGTCTGCATTGGTGTCAAATTATATCCTATTTACCCTGGATGCCAAAACTAGTATCGGGCCGTTTGCCGTTTTCCTTCGGCAGCCGAGAGCCCTTTGCTCGCCTGCCTAAATTAGCGCTACGGGGTAGTTGAGCCTGAGGGGTTTGTCCGGGTAGGGCCCGCCAAACTCCCCCCGGGCTAGACTCCCCCGTAGCGGTAATTTACACCAGCGGGCGAAGGGCTCTTGTGGCCCGGAAAACGAGTTCTGGATTCCAGGGTATATCTTATTTAGCGTGTATACATTTTTCTGTCATCAAGAGCTGCGTTTTTCTATTAATTGTTTCTCTATGAGGTATTGAATAAACTGTAGACCTTTTAAATGGTAGCATATTTTATATATCTCTGTATGACAAAAGTTCTGAATGAACTTTAAACATTTCATAATTTTGTATCTTAGGTGTTATTAGATTTATCCACTTGATTGATCTTAATACATTCTGTAAAGTCTGACGCTAATTCAGTCTGCTGACTGCTATGTCAGATCGTGTTGAGTTCCTTCCAATAAACCAATCATAATCATCACCATCAACTAATGACGGAGCAAAATGGAACTGACACTTTTTTGAAGAGGGGTATATTTTCCCTTTGTCTTGAGGAAATGACTTTTTTACAGTGAGAGTGCGGCTTCAGGAAGACTTCCTCGTTAATTGTTTAAAGATTTCGCTTCGAAAATAAAGAAGCTTCTCCTTTCTGTCAATAAGGAAGTTTGTTTTCAAAAGGGACCTTTGTGCAAATGTAATTAGTTGCTTGAAAAGACGAGGAAGCATTACATGGAAAACATCTTACCTTGACTACAGTCATGTCCTTCCCACCCAGGCTCACACTCACAGACGTTAGTGTCCACACAGGTGCCGTGTACACATGGGTAGTAGCAGTGTACTGGAATGTGAAGTAACCAAATTTAGTATACAATAGACTTATGATTTTGTAGGAAGATGAAACATGAACTCAACACACATATATCGCAATGGAAATATATAATTATGTGATGACCATATCGTATTTCTTTTACTTTTAAATCTTATAGATGACTAATTTGTCACTAAATGTTCACTGTGTACAAACTCTATCGAGTGCTTAGGTGGACAATTTCATTGTGACTGTGTTATTTTACTGTGACATATAAATTCTCATACCAAGAGTCGAATGGGTAAAATGAGTTGCCACGAAGTAGTTCACCTAGTCCTGACTCCTTACTGTAAACAGGACTGTTTATAAAACAAAAACTCGTGACAGTGCATCACCACACTTACCGCAGGTGTCCCTAACTTGGTCCCATCCGTCACAACACTGACTGTCGCATACACTACCAGGTGGACTGGAACAGTAGACAATAGTTTGGTAATTTTTTTTTTTTACTTAGTGCTTATTGGTCGCCACGTAACAATGGGGTGATGAGGTCACGGGCCTCATCACAGGGAATGGCGCGGAGTGATCTGGCTCTGACGTCAGGCGCCATTCTGCCAAGTTCTGCCGGAGGAGTTGGCGTGGTTACCACCTCCCGCCCAGCAGCTACTTTATCTCCACGCTGGCAGCGTAGACCTTTCATCCTTCAACGACAAGACAGAACTCTATATGATTACTCGCCTCACAACCGGACAGAACTTTCACCTTCTCTACAAGCTGGACTTTATTGCATGCCATGTATACTGTAGAATAGTGGCCTTTTGAGCCTTTCATTCCCATATTTATGCAATGTTCTTTTGCTCATATATATTTAGATAGGAGAGCACTAGGCTTAGGAGACATGTTTGACTGAACTTTATTCGTTGTTGACCTTAGGCAAAGAGCACGCCACATTACACGTCGTTCAGTTTGAATTATGTTTGTAGTTTAACTTAGTTTGTTGCTAATTCTATGCATTGCGGATGCCACATTACATCTCGTACCTACTCGTGTAGCAGAACTTAGTCTGTTGCCGACCTTAGGCGTCGAGCATGTCGCTCGAGACATACTTATATCTCTTTTCTTTTTACATGCAGTAGAACTCGCCTGCTGCCGACTTAGGCGTTGATATCAAGTACACGTAGTTGACTAGTCGCCGTTCTACTTCTAGACAGTTAGCTTCCACCCTCGATGGAACGATTTAGTTAGCCAGGCACAGTCGCATACTCCCACTGGCCGGCCTGGCCGTTGGGATGGCTTTCCTATTGTGATCACCGTTCTGAGTACAAGTAAAGTCATCTCTGGTGCCCAAACTCTGCCACTCTTCATTGCGTACAGTGTCATTCGGCCGTTAGGCCACTTCAAGGTGAATGGTGCTACCACCTGAATGGTATGACCACTCACCGGGGTTACGGGTTACCGAGTAGAACTGTAACAGCAACTCTTCTCCTCCCCGAGTCAGGAGCATCATGATTGAGACCAGCCAAATTTCTAACAAGTAGTGACGACTATCTAACCCTATAGGAGAAGCAGGAATTACGAAGCTGGTCGAGAAAATTCCCTACCTTATTATGAACAAAATACATCTTAATTCCTACAGAATTAAGCCAAATTAACGTAGCAAATAAGAAACAAAACTACACATTTGAAGTTGAAGTAGACATATACGTTAGCCAGTGTTGTCAAGAGAGTGGTTTTAGAGAAGCTAAGCAAATACGGCTATTAAAGAATTACTCACCCAGACAGAGCCAAGGTGTTGTCAACAGCCACAGCAACAAGGAGGGTCACACAATAAAAAGCACTGGGACCCTCTTCCTTCATGTTGTCAGTGGTGCTCTCTCTTTTACAACAAGGAATTGGGACTTCCTTGAACAGAATACCGTCCAACCATACTTGGAAGGTGGTTAGCAAATACTTCACACGGCTATTAAAGAAGTACTCACCCAGTCAGAGCCAAGGTGTTGTCAACAGTCACAACAACAAGGAGGGCCACACAGTAAAAATCACTGGGACCCTTTTTCTTCATGTTGTCAGTGATGCTCTATGTTTTACAGTAAGGAACTGGGTCTTTCTTGAACAGAATACCGTCCAACCGCACTTGGAAGGCGGTTAGCAAATACTTCATACGGCTATTAAAGAAGTACTCACCCAGACAAAGCCAAGGTGTTGTCAACAGTCACAGCAACGAGGAGGGCCACACAGTAAAAAGCACTGGGACCCTCCTTCTTCATGTTGTCAGTGGTGCTCTCTCTTTTACAACAAGGAACTGGGTCTTCCTTGAACAGCATTTGGGAGACGGCTGTTGTACAATCTACTTCCTCCTGAGGTGTAAACATATTTAAGTCCTGGCTAGAGCGACGTGCGTCATTGTTGTGGTAGTTACATGACACCGTAAGGCTATTGTATGGGACGTTATTGCTAAGTGTTGCGCAACGCCCTGCCAAGTAACCGGTGACCTGTCTAGTGAAAGCATGTTGTTTAGGGGTCTGGTCTCGTGTTGCAGGTTGAGTAGAAAGACGTGTAACACCGCCACCTGCCTGGTAGACTGCACAAAAGAACGGGTACACGTCATACCACAGCCTGACTCTGCCGGGGAATACCGCATCGGCGTGTTTTTATAATTACCCTCCACCACCTCAAAAGACGGCTCATGCGAACCACTTACATGTTTCGGTTAGATTAACCCTATATAGACCAAGTTTTTGGGGATTCGTGGGACTCAAGGGGTGGGGGGCTTATTCGCCCCCCCCCCCCAGAACTCGTGAACGGTACATCATATTGCAACCACATTTTGATGTCATTATGACATAATACGTCAAAATTGACATAACGCTTCATTATTTCGACCTATCAGATTCATATCCTTTGTAAATGAAATATAAGAAGGGACGGATCCAGATATTACAAATAGCGTAATGAGGGCTTACTATCGGTTCATAGATTTATGTTGAATATTGGATTGGACCCGTGCCTATGCAAGTCTGAAGCATCGTAAAATATTCGCGTCAAAGCACTATTAAACCATCAATTGACGTAACGCCACACAGCACAACCATTTGACACAAAAATGAGGCATTTATTAGGCAATGATTTTATCATGTGTATTTTGTTTTCCACACATATCTTTGGGTCAACAAGTCATTTTAATAGTATACGTGCACTTTCTGTGTATACATTGCCCTCCTGCTTTTTGCATGAACGGTTTGAGAGGGAATTTCATCCCTAAAACAGGGTTAGTCCAATATCAGGTGAACTCCATAATAGCTGATGCAATAATGCCGTGCAATTTATAATGTAGTGAATGGTAAATGGTTTGGGTTTCAGAATTCTTTGTAAATCATAGGTTTATGCCAATGTTAGTAATGCAATAGTTGGTGAGCTCTGTACTGTACTCTGTACTAATTTGCTTGAAACATTTCATCCTGTGCAATACGAAAAAAAAATCACACCATAATGACAATTTAATTTTTTAAAAGTTTAAACACGACACACACACACTTCAAGACGAAACCAAGAAAACTGGTTATGAGAATGAGTCGTCCGATCCACTGGATATATATGACTCAGAATTTTTTTTTCAACAAATCATGTGCTTTACTGTCTTTCCATCATCAATGTTCATGCCAGACACTTGTTTGGGATAGTTTTCCAATTATAGCTAAAGCTACAAATGTCGTCAATTGTCAAGTGTTTGCATAGGCTGTTCAAAAGATGTGTAATCTTAATTATACTGTAATCGAATTCAAGAAGATTAACAGAAAATATTGTACTGTGGGCTTTCCTTAACCCAGACCGAGACATTTTACACTAATGTAATCTGTATCTCAGCTGATGCTACACTAGCCATGTTTGTCATCCAGGCCCATCTTATCACCATGGCGATTTAGGGAACCGTTGCCCTTCTCCCTGTCCTCCAGCGGCAGGTCTCCCACCTTGATTTTGGTGACATTTCGTGCTTTGACGTTCCACACAGCGACTCCGATCAGAGCTGCAGCGTTAAAAACAGCCCCCACAGACAGCAGCGCGATGTACACGGGCTGTTCGTACCAGCTGGACCCTTGTTGGACTGGTACTGTGGAAGAATATAGCATATGCATTCAGCTATTCCAAGATCAGAGTGCCTTCAAACTTTAGTGTATTACCTTTAGTGTATTACTTTTAGTTCATTACTAAACAAGTACTTTACAATGACGGACACTATCCGGACACTTGGACACAGAACGGGATAACTTTACGGGGGGGTGGGGTTAAAGAAGCCATTTACATCAGGGCAAACCAACCTACGCTCAGCCGGGAGGGGGGCGCGGTACCGCCTTTCGACGAACTTTGATTTAGTGCTGACGTCACACGTTGGTAAAAATCACGTATCCACAGCACTCGGGTTATAAAGCTCATGATTCTGAGCTATGTAGTAAAAAATTCTTGTGAGTTATATTCGTTTTTTTCAGTTGGAGAACAACTTAATTTTCAATATGTATTTTACCAACTCAGACGAATTTTCATGCTAGTACCATTCACATACATGTATTATAATCGGTTATAACACTGCTCACCAATTATTTCGACACAGCTGATTCCATCACCAGTCATTCCGGCAGGACAGCTGCAGGTGTTGTTCTCAAGACTGTCCAGCGTGAAAGAAGGACACGTGCCGCCATTCTGACACGGACAGTCACGAGCGATGACTGTGAAAGACCCTGTCGAACTTGCACCACACTCGTCAGCAGCCATGACGTTGACGATGATGGTTGTGTTTAGTTTTGGGGTCCACTTCAGTTGACCATCGCTAGACAGGGACAGGTCAGGGTCGGGCGAGGCTCCTACCAGCGAGTAGCTCAGTTGAGTACGGTTTTCCGGGTCGGATGCCCTGACTGTGAAGTTCATTTGATGATTGATAAAGGCGATGATGTCACCGGTTGGTTCAAAGACGGGCGGGGCATTGTCTGTGGAAAGAATCACACCGGCCATGAAAGAATATAGGATAGTCCTGAGAACATCATCTGCAGCTGTATATATATATAT